GGGGGTAAGGGGGAAAGGGGGTTGGGAAGAACTACAAACATGATTAAGTTACTAGCTGACCGCTCGCTTTCAACTACATAATGCTATTTTACACTTATTGGTCAATGCTACCCTATAAAAAATAGTCCAACTTCGTCAAATTGCGATTCTGTTTTGTCTGATATGTGATTTTATACTTCTGAAACTTTAGTAACACGTTTAAATTCTTCCTAGAATTCTACTTTTAATGCCAGTAACAAATTCGGGTTGGTTAAAATCAATAATAAAAAAAAAATGAATGCAAAATCTGATTTGAATCATTATAAGGTAGACTAGAACTTCACGTGTGTCGAGTAACGAAACCAGGAAAATGGTAGCATCGGTCCACAATGGAGTAAGATACATATTTCAGATCGTGAAGTTTTAATGTCATCAGCCATGACAGATTACCCGCTTAAGGTCACAGTGGTCTGGGTTTTTTATCAATAAAAATGGACTAGCGTGGAAGCGGATATTGCAAGGAAAAATCATTTCTGGTGGGTTTTTTTATAGCATTATACATAAAAAGTTGTAATTGTTTTTTGTTTATGATATATTTTACTCTGTTCAAAAAAATGATAAATGACAAATGTTGGTCAATTCTTAATAAAGATTGATTTCCTTAAATATTATAAAACAAAACATTTTGATTTAAAACAATAACATTATCTTGCAGACCACAAAAGCCAATATGGCTGCAGGTCATGATGAGCCTGACCTTGTTGATGTGAGAGAGACTACCGTTGACCAGGAACGGAGAGAAAGTGTAACGGACCAGGGACCGGAAACTACACAAAGTGTTCCCATCGGAAATCACGTGATACCTGACGTTTGGAATCACGCAAATGGCGTCGATTTGTCTCAGTCGTTCGATTCTGATGAAGTCATCAGTCCCAAAGAAGTGTCTGATTATATGGAGGAAGCTTACACTGAGATTTTAGATTCATTTCCTCCAGCCAATGACACGTTAAGTGATATAGATAATTCAGAGACAGACAACTTAAAAGAGGATAACGAATTTAATTGGTCTAAATCACCCAATGAAAATCCATCTAAGCATGATGGAACGTGTATCGTTAACCTGACCTCCAATCCGGAGAGTTCTCAGTATCCTTTATCGAATGGTCATTCCCAACACAGACCCTGGTCAGTGAGTGAAAGTAGCGACATATCGGCAGGAGCCAGTACCCATAATACAGACAGCCCCAACCCTTCCACATGTAGTAATGCTCCTCTCCTCACTACCCAACAAACAGGCCGCGACGAGAACGACAACAGTCACGTGACTAAACCCGAAACGCCAATTTGTGCTGACTATAATGGTGATTGGGACGAGATTTTTGCCATCTGTGATACCTTTGATCACGATACTAGGACGGAATCTACAAGCTGATAGACGCAAGATTTCAGTCGTTATCACGACGACTAGGACGTGTGGTAACTCATAGTCGGTAGAATGGTAAAATAAGTTCAACAAGTGATTTAAATGGATTTTTGTCAATATTGGCCTCCTTTCGCACAATAAGTCCAGGGTTGATGTGATATTTCCTATGGAGTAAAACTTAACTATAAACTAGTTGACTCATGGAAAGATTCCTGTTAGTCAGGGTATCCCGCCTCACAACAACACGAAAGCTGACGACAGAAGAACTGCGAAAGCCAAATATTTTCCATTAATCAGTGTGATAGTGAAACGCAACGTTCTTCTCCAATGAGGTAAATTACCATATAACAATATGATAGTTAATCCTTGTGTGATGATTAATTTATAATCTACCTAAAGGTATTTGGAGTAGTGCTAGTAACTTAAAATCAAGCTCGACAAATATGGATACTATGTTTTTATGATCAGGTACGAACGGTTGAGTCGTTGTCTAGGAGTTGAAGTTCTTTCTCAGACAAGTGGAGAACGCACCACTGTTGGAGAGCAGTCATGAACATTTCTATAATGATGGTGCGAATCGTAGAAGTTCTAAAAGAACCACGCATGCGTGTCTCCTCAATCTGTGATTGTTCAAACTATTAGTAGGACGCGGTGATGATTTTGGCTAGAATATGAGGTACTTACATACAGGTTCAGCCCAATGTAGATCACACCATGATTTGTGGTCGGTCATGAATATTTTGACCAAAAAATGGTGTATAGCATTGTGCAATTTGTTAAGATACCGTGTTTTCTTCTCAGTGAGTACAAGAACACACCAAGATTGGATTTGTGTTGCTATTATTAAAAAGAAAAAAGCAGGGTGCGTTCTGCCAACACCAGCAATGCAAGACCGTTCTTTTCTGAATTCCTAGCGAATTAGAAGATGGAATTATCAGTATGTTATACAGTGGTATGTGCCATGCCGGCAATCAGTATTATCGTTATCACTATTAAACGAACGATAACTCGAATAGAAAGTCACTGTTACTGTTGTCTACCGAAGAATGGAGGACATATGACAGATGGATGGTCAAAACAGACTTATTAATATATATATTAATTATAGTTTTAAGTCTGGTGAAATGTTTATGAACCATTTCATGCAATGACTCACTATATAGTATAGATATTGAAACGTTTTGTATGTTATTTATGGTTAAATTTATTTTACAAATTGCTTGCATACAGTATGTGATATGGTAACACATTAGATAAGTGTGGATGATCATTTTTATATATTATTTATTCATTATTTTCGTTTTCCAGTAGTCTTGCCTAAAGCGTGAATATGTGATATGGTGACGCTCTAGATTAGAAATAAGAGTTCGTTTTAATTTCGTACAAATACAGTTTCACCGTGATTAGCTAAGATGTAATCATTTCTATTTCTTGAAATAAGCGCATGATTGTATTCGTTCTTTCATAAGTAATTTGGGAGCATAAATGATATTTATATCTCTATTTATTGATTAATATCGAACGGGAGAGAATAGTTAACTTAAAGTAACAGTATTTCCTGCTTAAGTAAATAATGCGTTAAGATTTTGTTAAGCTTTTTAAATTCCTTTTTAATTATAGGCAAAATGTTCCGAAACGCTTTTATGAAACTCTTAGTTTTATTAATATACACTATACATATTAATTATGCATTTATTTGTATATTATTTATTTCAAATAAGCACTATATCGTATTTTATAAATTTGGCATTGATTTGATTGCCAGGCCGTCGAATATGTAGTTATAGCAAGCAATTAAATTGCCTTTTTATACATAGTTTGTGAAATAATGAAATAGTATGAAAAGGTGCTCCAAAATCTCTGTATGTAAGCTTAAAATGTACTATGTATGAAACGCCATACACTGCGCAAATTGCATTGCCCTGTTTACCGCAGTTATGATAAACGGTTGGTTGTAAAATGGCATAGCCAGCTGGACGAATCTTTTTCGTATACAAAATAATTGGCAGCTCTGATTACTTTGATTCCATGAATATGTCTGCCCATGATCACATTCAGGACACTAGGGCGCCAAACATCAATCGGAATATATAACAAAAACAATTGCTTTACCCAAAATTGAATCCATAGTGAAATACAAATTGGATTGAGAAACAGTGATCTGTCATTTGTTAGAATGGTAAAGGTCTTGAACAATCCGCGGATACAAAGTATTGTCAAGTTTGTTATGTTTATAAGATTAACTTTGTTATTTAATTTGTAATGCGACGTTTTGAAACAGACTGACATTATCATGCAAAGCATTGTAAATATTTATGTACCGTAATTAAGTCCTGTGTGTCTAATACGTCATTTTAAACTACATTTAACATGAACTAACTTATGTGTGTCCATATAAAGAAATATATTTAAATGTATTTTAACGTCAATATTTAGATATGCTTCAGTGGTATTGAATTAATTTAATTCCATACAGGATAATGCTATTTAAAAGCAATTGTAAAATATATTTTTACTGAAATAGCATGCGTTTTAAAATCAATTTTACATGTATATAATAGTAATTAAGTTTCATTTATTTATTTTTCTATATATACTTCAAAAGGTATCATAAATATTGATTAAATATATACGATATATATAAATATTGATGTTTGTAAGTTGTGTGTTTGCACAGTAGGTTCAATATGGTATCAATGAAAAGGGAACAGGTCAGGAATTTGAGCATGTTTTAAACATACTTAAAGTTAACTGATTAACAGTTTCATAAACAAGTTATTCTGAAACAGGCTTATTATCATAAAAAAAACATTTATGAACATCGCTTATGTTGTAGATGTTTTCCAAGCAGTGGAAAAATTCAGCTCAACCTTATCTTCGAATCCCATCCTAGGACACCACATAATGTCTGTCCGTTTCATAGATCGCTCAAATATATGTTAACTGAAGACAGAATCATGTACATACTTTTCAATTTGTGAATAAAATGGAAAGCTGCATCAGTATACCCTACGACATCAATCATGCGAGGATTTAACAATAAACCATTTTTTCGCCACGTTTTCTACTCGTTATTTAAGAACAGGCCACTTCATTGCAGGACTAGTAAATTAAAGATTTTATAACTGGCTGTATAGCAATCAGATGACGAATTTCAATACAGACCAAATTGTTTGGAAGAGCGGAGAAAGAAAATTTGTAGTAGAAAAAATAATGAGGTGATTAGTTTGCATACGGATGGCAGCAGTAGCGAGTTCACTTGTATATATGTTTACAATCTTCAGATTTCATCTTAAATTATTAAAATAAATGAGTCAAGAAAGTGTTTTGTTTTTTGTTTTATTTCAACTATTTATCATTTTATATAAATGATAAATAATACAAAACTCTATTTCTATTTTTAGATGTGTGTTGAATAATAATAATTTCTTAAAATATTATTTTCTTCACAACTGATGAGTATACTTGAACATCACATTCAAGTCGGATACACTTAGCGTGATTAACAAATGTAGCGTTGGTAAAACTAAATAATGGTTGATGAGTTTCAAAAATGACCTCAAAATAATGTACAACATCTACTCCCTCTTACTTTAAACCCTCATGTTTACTGTGTATGTATATCAGAGATCGTACAAAAAATACGTAAACATTTTTCGACTAATTAAAAAGAATGAAAAATAATAAAATTTGAACTGGTTTTGTTTCGCTCACGAACTCAAATTATTCTCAATATAGTATATTCATTGTCTGTCTTTCCAATGCAGTGCAAACTAAAATGTCAATGGACACATCAAACGAAATCAATAATATCGCTCTGCATTTAATGATTGAATATTAAGTCAAAGTTAATGGACAGATGAACCAATGAGATTAGTGACAAATTGAAATATTTGAAATTGAACAACTCATTTTATCACCAAATGAGCTTAACCACGGCAACATAATGGTCAAAGTAGTGTAAAAATATAAAATAAATACATACCTCTAAAATGAGAGTGACATTATTTTGCTTTGCATTATTGGTGTGCAAACAGTACTCGGGATACCTTATCCAAATGTATTTGTAAATTATGAATATGCACGTTAATATCTATACACATCTTAACCACTGTGGACCCCAATGGACTCATCCAAATAAAGCTATGGAAGAGTCTACTAAAGTTACCTAGGGTGAAAGGGCTAACAGGACAATGAAAATACGATGCAAGGAAGCATCCATTTAAACAATTGGTGCTTCGATGCTGAAATTTAAACAAAGTATACCATTATGCTGCACAAAAAGGCCGTTTCGTCCACTTAGACTGATCAGTCAATAAGATTTGGATAAAAATCTGGAAAAAATCCTGTGGATCAACAAACAAGTATAAGACTGAAATTGAAAGTCGATGTAGAAAGATCTGAAGGATATGATAAAACATCCAAACAAAAGGAAAGCCATCAGGAACCGTTTCTAAATACAGGACGAAGTATTTCCAGTATGACTGCTTCAACCCATGAAAACTTCAGCTCATGAAAAGTATGTAGGTAACTACCAAATTAGATATAGAGAAAATGTCTGTTTTCATACTAGACTTTACAATATTACCTGGATTTTTTTAAATAAGGCATTAACAATTCTCTGATGATTGTGATGTCATTAGTGTACCAGCATGGACACTGAGCAAATATTAAATATATAATATAACAAATATGCAAAATACATATATTAAATTATATGTATAATTTTGAATAAATTAATTGATTGTAAGCGTGATGTACATATGTTCAATATTACTATGACATAAAATCTGTGATTGTAAGTTAAGAATCAGCAACCAGCTTTTTTTTTCAGAAAATGTCTTAAAAAAGAAGACAATTTCCTACACCAAGACGCCCCCCAAGATATTACTAGGGGCGATCCAAAGACTGGGGGATTGGAATCTCATTAACAGTAGCAATGTTTCGTAAAATCTGTGACGTCCGAATAATCCCAACTCCACACCCCTCCCACGTCCTACATCACACATTCTAACTCCTCCCCCAACCCCATTGGCTAACGACCCCGAAACTTCGACATCCGCTAGAAGAAGAAGCTAGGGAGGTGTCTATTTGTTATGATCAACTTCCTGTTTTCTAGCAGGAGTCGCCATGTTGGAAAACATTTTCTTTTAAAAAAAAACTTGTCAAAGGTGCAGCTCTCAATTATTCTGTCATAAGTATTAGTCTTTAAATTAACTGGCAGCGTTTTTCTATCTGATCATGACAAACTCAGATATTATACACAATGATGGAAAAGATGTATCGTGATTATGATTATGCTATGTTCTTCATGAATATGATTATGCTATGTTCTGTCTTTCACATCCTTGCGACTTTCCTAACAACCACACCAGACACCTATTAAACACTTTCAAACGTTCCATGTAGGAATAAGTTTAATTATCATACTTTAGCAATGCAGTGTAATTGCCAGATATGTATATTGTCCAACTTGTTTCACACTATCGAGTCAGTAATTCGTGAAAATGTTCTTTTCGATATGTAAATGTATTCCTATAATACAAAAATATTTCATAATACGGCCATTTAAACGGAAGCAAATAAAGGCAGCTGGATTATCGAGACTATGATGCACAATATTACATTCTGAAATAATAAGTACATAAGATAGATAAATTCGAAATACGTTTAATACGTATTTATAGTTGTTTTTCTATCATATGGCAGAAACAAGTATCACTTAGATAAAAAATAATATACACCATACTTTTTAAAACCTCACACCCATGTAAGGAAATAAATTGTTTGTCAGAAACAAACAATTATAAAATCATCATATCCATTAAAAAAACCTGCAAACAAAATTGACATCCTCAAACTTTCCAAGTATATCACAGAAACTCGTCATTTCCTTTTACATCATTTTACTTCTTTCTCCCTTTCGGAGCTGCTGCAGCTTTCCCAGGTTTTCCCTTTTTAGCCTTCGGACCTGCTGGTTCCTCAGCTTTCCTCTTCTGACCTCTTCCGCGTCCTTTAGCAGGGGCTGGCTCTACCTCCATCTCATCTTCGCTGTCACTGTCTTGGAGTACAACTTTGGCCTTTCCTTTGCCTCTTCCTTTGGGTGCTGGTTTTGGTGCAGGTGTTGCCTTTCCTTTGCCTCCGCCTTTGGGTGCTGGTTTTGGTACAGGTGCTGCCTTTCCTTTGCCACGCCCTTTGCCAACCGGCTTTGCTGGAGCTGGTTCATCCTCCTCGTCGTCGTCTGAACTCTCAGCCTTTTTAACTTTTCCTTTTCCTTTCCCTTTGCAACCCTTACTTGATCCAGCTTCATCATCATCTTTGGCTGAAATAAGAAGCCGCATGGAATTAGAAATTGAATACACTTATCACGGGTGATTAAAGCGGGGTAATTTGCCTAAAAGGTCGTGTATCACTGTAACTCAGCATAAATAAAGAGGAAATCAACAAAACGTGATCAGCATCAGTGTTCTGAATGTTAAAATTAATCAAACCCTTGTTGATTTTGTATTTTCTATTTCACCTGGATTTTTTTTTTCTCATGAAAGTCAATATCACATGTTTTCGATAATATTAAGACCCAACCGGTTCCCGGGGTGAGGGGGGGCTATAAGTTTGCACTCCGTCCGTCCCTTTTTCGTCAGAGAAAATTGTCCAGGACATATCTCTTATACTATTTCACCTTGAGTAATCCGATTTGGTGTACAAGGACATCTTGGGATGGTTTATAGAACGATGTTAGATTTGTGTATGATGTTTATAGAATACTGTGAGAGTTATAGAGGACCGTGCAAGATATGATTAATTTACAAAAGCAATGCATAGATACAAATTTCGAAAGTGTTACGAGGTTCAATATTTAGATATTTATACCGCTTATCTTTGGAACTAATAAAGGTAGTTATCCCTATTTGGATTACTATGTATATGTATTTATATATAATAATACACATGTATACATATTTACAGAATACGTTTCCTTTTGTAGGTGGTTTTAATACATTATGTGTTTATGTACCTTAGATTTTCATCGTATTTCTACTCACCTGTCTTATCCTTTGGCACATATGGTTTGTACTTGGCCAGCACAGCATTCCATCCACCACCTGTCTTCCAAAATGTCCAGTGGTAGCCGTTAGTGTATATGGCGTACTTGACGGACGCCACCAGTCGGTTGTAGATCTCGTCATCCGTGGGAGGTTCCAGGTTTACCACCTGTCACAGAAACACAAAGTCAATAAGTAAGCATAAAAAATACAACACAAAATTAGCAAAGGAAGTTATACATTGAGACCCAGTAAAAGTGCAAGGAGAATTAGACCAGGTGTTCCGGAAGGGTAAGCTTCTTCTGGTTCATTTATGACACCCGCCATGTAAATCCAGCCCTCAGCCTGGCGGTTTTTTTAAAAATCTTGTTTGAGGGTTACTAAAGCCAGATCGTTTACCCTTTATACCAATCTTATACCAGTCCTGGATCCTTTACCCTTCACACCCACGTTAAACCAGTCCTAGATCCTCTACCCTTTACACCCACCTTAAACCAGTCCTGGTATGTCTTGGCGTCGCCGATTTTTTGGATAGAAATTTTCATATTTGCCACCATTTGGTTTGTTGGGAATCCCATGTTATCATCATACCGCTTCTTCATGGCATCCCGGCTCATTCCTTTTGGCATAGCGATGTCAAGGAACAGTACCTTAAACAGAGGGTGACATTTTACTGGCTATTTTACAAAAATAGTATGAGAATACAGTGTGTGCCAAACTGCACCTGGTCTTACAAATGTCTTGTAAATTTTCCATCGGGTAAACAAATATTCAAAATCTTTGAATTCCTGATAAACAGTTTTGCACATACTGCAAACGTCAGGCAAATAAAATTCAATCTCTGGTTTATTTAATTCATCACATGACGAAACATCGGATGCTGATTGGTTGACCTCAATTAAGAGAGCTAACTTGATCCCTTTTGAGGACGGTGATAATCTGTCATTATTAGGTTTTATTAATCCGAAATCAATTAAAAATTGTGTTTCGTACTTTAATCATTGCTGGGCTCAAGCAATGTTTCTTGTCTCGGCAATGTTTAAAAACCACAAAAAGGCCCTCAGTATAGCATGATACGAGCTAAATAATCCACATGTATGCTATATGTCCCAACGAACAGTTCAAGACTCCAGAGTTACGTACCTGGAAGGCAAGCAGTTTTCGGCTGACTTGTGTTCGTTCAAAAGTTTCCTTGATTCGAATTTTCTTGTCTGTGTCGAGGAATCCAAGCTGGGAGTCGTCTTTCACGTACCACATCACATGACGCTTCCAGCTCTCGGAAAGGTACGCATCAGCAGCGCCCTCCCACCTGTGTCAAAAATGAGTGGATTCAGCAGAGAAATCCTAAATTAGCGCAAAATAAATTTCGCCTTCAAAGTTGACTTGTAGTTGTATTTTTTTATACTGACAAAATGAATTTGCCCACATTTAGTAGGCTGAAACAGGCAAATTTTTAAATATAGTGAGCATTCCCGGATATATGGTGACCCAAAGAGGTGTTGCAGTTACAAAGCAATTCGACTCTCTATGTATCTAAATCTACACAGTCTATTATGAAAATGTGTTTTCTGAGGTTGAAGATATGTGCTTTCGATATGGTATTCATACAAATGAAACTGTATACCACTACATCTACTCGCTAAGACGACATTAAGGCCCGTATTCATGAAACCATTTTCATGCTCAATCTCAGATTCCGTGCTCAAAGCCAGTTTTTTGTTCTAGTCATGAATTCATAAACAAATTCACATTTTGTAAATAATTTAAAAATAAGAAATGAGAAAAGAGTTTAATTGTCATACCTATTTCAATGTTAATACTTGACTTTGTTACAGTGTCACATGTTTTTAGTGCTTGAAGATAGTTGGTTTGAGCACAGAGTTCATGCTCGAGTATGAGATTGGTTTCAGGAATATGGGCCCTGATCTCAAAAGTCAGTACGAAGAGACAAAAAACAGAAACGGGAGAAACTAAAACTAAATGGAAGAACAACATGAACCAACACAAAAAAAAGATGGAGAAACAAATGTTCTTAGAGGTGAAGAAAGGTTTTGCAGCTCAAAGCTAGTCTAACAAATATGAACTCAAGTAATATTGTGTTACTCGTGTATCAATAGAGGATATGCTAGACACACATGCTACATGGGGAGGGGGGGGGGACAATACCTCGATTGGAAGCATAAGGTATCAAGCTTGGCAATTAGTATTTAAATAATTTTTCGGTATTCAATTTGGACAAACATGGAACACACATCAAAGGTTAATGACAGCGCCCGTGTATTTATTGACATGCCTGTATTTTTGACGTATTTATTGACATACCTGTATTTATTGACGTACCTGTATTTATTGACATACCTGTATCTATAGACATACCTGTATTTATTGACATACCTTTACTTATTGACATACCTTTGCTTATTGACATACCTGTATTTATTGACATTCCGGTATTTATTGACATACCTGTATTTATTGACATACCTGTATTCATTGATGTATCTATTGACATACCTGTATTTATTGACATACCGGTATTTATTGACATACCTGTATTTATTGACATACCTGTATTTATTGACATACCTTTACTTATTGACATTCCTGTATTTATTGACATACCTTTACTTATTGACATGCCTGTATTTATTGACATACCTGTATTCATTGATGTATCTATTGACATACCTGTATTTATTGACATACCTGTATCTATTGACATACCTTTACTTATTGACATACCTGTATTTATTGACATACCTTTACTTATTGACATACCTGTATTTATTGACATACCAGTATATAGTGCCTGTATTCATTGACATACCTGTACTTATTGACATACCTGTATTTGGAGGAAGCTGTCAACAACATAAGCCACTCCCCAATATGTGGACATGCCTTCTTTGTTCTTTCTTCCTCCTTGTCGATAAACGTCTGCAAAAGTTAGAAGATATCCTTGAACCATTTTGTTGTCACCTCTATTAAAAGAAAGAATATCTTTGCAGAAGCATTGAAATACTTTCAGTTGGCATTCATATAAACTATGAATGTCGACTGGACAAAAGCCCGTTAGATCCTCATGCTGAATATGTCTTCTTTTGTAGGCATTCATATTGACTACAAATTCAAACCGAAATTAGTTCAATACTTATATTTACCGTTTTTGAAATATTCTAATCTCATTGAAAAACCATATCAACTGTTTTAAAAATAAACTTATCAAATAGAAAATCATAGTTAACTGCTTTTGAAATATGCTTATCTCAAAGAATAACAAAAGATTATCAAAATACAGCATATAGTTCAAAATAAAAAATAGGCATCGTGTAAGACTTTTTAAAGAATAAGAACAGGAATAGTCAAAGACACCCAATCTTACAGTTATGACGTAAATGATTAGGTCAAGGAATGTATAGCTAATATGTATATCAGTCCTCTGAGTTATAAAGTGGTTATGCCATACAAAGTATCTGTCACCTGTGTATGTCTGAAGTTCACCTCTAAACTGACAAATACCGAGTGCCAGTAGTACATGTTGACTGTTACCTTGAGTCTGTTGTCGATTTCCTTTTGTAGGGTGGGGTAGGTATCCAACGCCCACAGCAATAGTCTGTGCAGAGTGAAGTACCCATTCAGGGCATTGTCACTGGTGTGTTGCGTCCCCTTGCTAAACTCGACGACGGTGGCGCTCATCAGATTTGGGATAACCTTTATCACCATTTCCTCAATGGGAGTTTTCTTTGGGTTACATTTCGGAAGAATGACGGCGCACTCTTTCAGAGTCGATTCAAACACCTCTCTGATTTTATTCCCATGGGGCGGATGTATAAACATAGGCAAGAAGTAGCTGATATCCTCTCGCATCACGCTCTTCACACTTCCGGTTGCTTTCTTCATGCTCTCATACGACTCCAGGGAAAGTGTCTCGCAAGGTGTGGTCAGGGAGGGCCTGTGTTTTGGCCCAGAGACAATCAGCCCGTATCCGAACAACTCCGAATCGCTCTTCGGAATTCCTTTGTTAAAGACCTCCTTGGACATGTAATCGATTATTCCAGGTATCGGTTCACCTTTCTTTGATTTTGCATCGACTTTTTTCTTCGTTTCTGGTTTACCGTGATCTAACGAGGGAAATGGCTTCTTATAGGTATGACCGCAATCGTCACAAACGAATTTCTGTGAGAGGTTCAGGTTGACTTTCGTTGCGTCCTGCATCCAGTAACTGTCTCCAGACTGGGTCTCGGCAAGGAAGGCCACTACGTTGAGGAGGACGGTTTGTATGGTATATCCTGGTACAAGATACAGGACACAAGAGGCGTTACTTAAAGTGGTATACATAGCAACATGGAACATTAGCTCTCGAGAGCTATTATTGCGACAAACACAAGTATATCAAATAACAATCACATAATGTAATAGTAGTAATGAGTTATAAATATTATTATAAGAGACAAGTTTTTAACATTTACAGAAAAAATACACTGTAATGTCACATGTAAGATGAGATCAATAATTGCACAATTTTTAATAATATCACAAGGCTTTCCACTTATTTATATCATGGTTATTTATAAAAAAAAAATCAATCAAAAGATTTGACACATATTAATGAACGATGGGTTACTACAATGAATGTTAAACACTATCTGTACACCTGTACATACATGCTTATAAAGCAAAATGGTAAAAATGTCCATGATATACACTAACATAGTGTGGATTAAAACATGATTAAAGAGAGAAAACTAACAGTAACATATAGTATAATTTGATTCATTAAATGACATATTATATTAATCAAAGAAATTCATATCGCAGTCTGTTTACCTGGAGACCAGCCAACAGACTTCTGATCCTTCCACTCCGTGTGGATATCGGCGAAGTCAGAGAAAATATCCAGACACACTTTGGTTCCTTTTTTACCTGGCTTTGTTGCACCACTATTGTACCGAAACCCTACTGGAACAAATTCCGCACTTGGACTGTCGTAAGGGTAGTTCTCGGGAAAGAACAATAGAAGGTGATAGATGATATCTTCATGCTTAAAATTGCAGTGCCACTCAAACATATTGGCATCTAGTGGATACGCCGACACATTCTCCACCGGTTCCCTCCTCAGCTCCGATAGGTCCTGCATCAACCTCTTAATGGCACGCTTTGTTTGTTGGTTCGTCGACATGGTCACAGGAGTTATGCTACAAATGATGATCTGAAACATGAAAGGAACGTTTTACTTTTCGGCTGGCTCAGAGGATTTGGAAGCTTAGCAAGGATAGATATGAGGATTTTTATTTTATTTTAAACTTTTCGTCAAAATTTTCAGTAATGCCAAACAGTATATACCAAACGTCGGTTCCTTATGCACACATTCTTTTTCTATAATTCTATAAAATAAATTATCTCGACTACAATAACTGGTGTCGGGGAAAGCTTTTTATTTAAAAAAAAAATCAAGACTGTTTACAAGCTACATGTAGGAGCTGATTTTTGGCGCATGGTCTTTATAATGTAATACCGAAAATATTAACATAATTCACGAAAGAAACATTTGCCGACGTTAATAAAACCATACACGTAAGGAGTTTCAGGCCAAAATTCCAGGCACTACCTCATCCAATCTCGACCGGTAAAAAGGAACGGATATCAGTCCTTTTTGAAACCCCTATTTGAGACAATATTTGATGAATATATATTTATATATATATAACAACATGAAAAATCTGTCCTTCCTTAGCGTAGAAGCCCTTTGAAACAAAGTGAATTTATTGTAATATTTCGCTTAGTTTTCACACACAGACAAAGATATTTAAAAGTATTATTCACACACATAAATATTTAATGGATTTCCATAAACTTAAATGAATCACTTGAATACACGGGGTTCTATAAATGAGCCAACATGTGTTCTCACTGAATATGAGTAATAATTTGCAAAAATAGTTTACTTACTTGATAATTCGCTCAAGATTAAGTCACATGTTCTTACTCAGTGGTAAATAATAGGTAATAAATCGCCATCATAGCCAAGTCACTTACTGCATAAGTTTAAGGTTATTGATATATATAACGAGGAGGGGGCGGGGTGGGGGTGGCACTATGGTGGATGACAATTGGAGGGCCAATCGATTTAAATATCTAGTTTACATAATACAAGATATATATATATGTAATAAATATCTAAACGGGTATTGTAGAATAATTTAATCTTGCTTGTAACAAGCATTTTCATTGGCTTTAAAATTTATGCTATCAGCCCATAACGTAAAAAATTGACGTCGCCGTTTGTAACGTCGCTTTTGATAGGCTTATACAGCAGCGCAATAATTTCTAAGAGAAAAGAGTCCATCAATAAAAGTGGATTTTCACAGGGATTGTGTAAAGTAGATTAAATTTAGAGTACACTCCGGTTTTTTGTGTTATATCTCCATAACATGAAAAATATATTCAAGTTAATCCTTAATTAACAAGATAGACGTATGCTAATAGATATTAGGTCCAGGAGATAAAATAAGAGCAAGGTACAACCAGGCGCGGATTTAGGGGGGGGGGGGGGGGGGGCC